ATTAGCCATTTTTATGTTATAAAATGAATTGTAATTTCTGTCATATTGAGCCAATCGAAAAACTAACCATATCGCTAAAAAGACTTTATCGACTTTAGTGTAGGTTCCAAGTTACAGATCATTTGGACAAATATTCAATTAATGAGAAGCCGTGCAATTTACAGAGAATGTATGGGGATTTTGACCGCGTCCCCCAAAACAATACATTCTCTGTTAATTTGATGAAACTAGAAATAAATACTGTTCAGCTAGTTTTTATCCAAACGTTTTGAAACTTGGTATATATACTAATTTTTGGGTGTCCTTTCAACTGGTGGGGTTTGTTTCGTGAATAGATCAATATTTCTTTGATTAGTGCCCAGTCCCCTGCGCAACGTAAAAATGGCCAATAACACATTCATGTTTTTTATGCTAGAGTGCAAACATTGTAACTGAATTATTAAAATCACTTTTGTTCTCTATTGTCTAATCTGTACCATTTAATCCTTAAGAGCACTATTGGATGGCTCATAAAGTTTCAATAAGCTTGCCAWTTTTTTTCCTTCTTTTTTGTTTGTTTATTTTTGTTCATTCTTTGAAAACAAATGTTTGGGCTGCCTGTGTTTAGCATAGAACGCGGCGGGCACTGARCACGAGTAAGCCGCTGGGCGGTGAGATTGCCGTCCCGATATCGATCTATARCAAGAGCAAGATGGCAGCAAAGAAGATGAAAGGACAAGAATCTTGGAAGGTTTATAAACCTCTTGTTACTATTTTTTTCTTTAYTTAGATGTTTGACATTTTTTGGAAACATCTTTTAGTGGTCCGTTGATGAAAAACCTGTAAAAATAGACAAATGGGATGGTAACGCGGTGAAAAATGCCTTGGACGACGCAGCGAAAAAGGTTTGCATTGTTCTTCTGCAGTGTGATCGATGCGACTTTATGCTTCAGCTGGTACAATATMCAGTCTTCATTATGTTTTCTGGTGAAGAAAGATTTGAGTGTTTCATCCTGATCGTTTTAGAAGAYCTCGAGTCTAAGGAAAGCCTTTCAGGACTCTCAAATTTACCACTGTTATTGAGACACGTCAGCTTTCACATGATTAAAAATCTGTTTTAATAGCACTTAATATAKAAACTGTGTAACCTCAAGTTTTAACCAGAATGTTTTTTCTTGTATCAATTATAGTAGCCTGCAGTAATAATGTAACATGTTACAAACCATGTTTACAAACAAAAGGTCGCTTATGTTTGGCTGACATGAACAGCAAAAATGAATAAACAGTGAAAATTTCTAGCAGTGGGTTTTCCGCACTGCAGCTATGACCCATTTTACCATAACTTGCAGAATTCTCATGCGCTTATTGGTCGAGAGCCGTTGTCGATCCTAGRACAGACTGATGAAATGACAAATCGCTTGAGCAYGGAGCCGGCGCTCTCCAGAAACTGTTTTGTTTTGAAAGTTTTACTTTGAATTCTACAAGTTATGGTAAAAAACAAATCGAAATCGCTTTTCTATGGTCTGTACGGTCTCGCTACGCTTGTGGTTCCACTTGAGTTTTGATCATTTTCTGACGCCATTGTCATTGTYGATAAGCATACAGAYCATAGAAAAGYGATTTTGATTTGTTAATTGTCATCATTGTTAGCACGATAACAGCAATAAATAATATTTAACACTAATAAGCAAATCATTTCAAACTGGTAAACCAATATTTTGTTTATATTATCAAATTATTAAATATTTATCTTGATTTTTGTGTAGGTTCTGACAAACCACTTTGGCTATCATGAAGATCACTCATTAACTGATACAAGACTTGGTATTTGTACACTTTCTGTAGTGTTTGCCTTGGCTGCTCTTGGGTATGATTATCTGAATCCATTCCCAGCTTCAAGACCTGTTCTTATATTATGTGTAATATCGTATCCTTTTGTGATATTGATGATATAGCACATGACACTATTATTGGTAAAAAATGARCTTAAAGTTGGGAAGTTGTCATTATTATCAATTACTACTGTTTTACTTGTGGTTCCTTGATTTTTTCCTTAAATGTTATAAGATATTTCATATTGATGGGCTTACTCACTTTGTTTACAACTTTTAAAGAAAAAAACTATATATTATTTGCAGTCCAAAAAGATGATGCTGGAATTGTAAGTATATTTTAATAAGCTCTCCTTCTTTGTAGCAAGATCTCCTTGAATTTCTAAATTYATATCTGGCTATATTAATACAGAATTAAAAAAACAATAAACAATGTCTGACCTGCCCAATCACTTTCACAGACTGCCTTCTTGTACCTAGTTTTCCTTCACAGTCTACTCTTTTGTTGGGCTTCCTTTCCCTTAGGCRGTGAAGGCAATTTACTTGTACCAAGATRAATGTTAGGCATAGATGTACAAATGTAAGAGATGTGAATGTTAACATTTCATTTTGATTAGGGACCAGATCATGTTTGGACTTTGCGATCAGTTTTAAAAAGATATGACCACCTATACACATTGACCATGTCTTTTAAAGATGGAGAAACAAAGAGAGAAAGAGAGCAAACTTTGTCAAAGTAAGTACAAACACTTTCTTATWGTGCAAGCACTAAAAGTACTTGTATGAAATAGTACTAACCCAGTTTGTGCTAAATTGACCAAATAGTGTTCATTAGAGAATATCAAATAAACGTAAATCAGTGCAATATGCCCATTTATTTGTTTCACAATGTTCAATGACTAGTCTCCTTCGCAACCTCCCCTTTTGTCGGGCTTCCTAACCTTAGGGACAGGAAGCCCGACAAAAGGGGAGGCTSTGACTATTTAATTTTTCAGTGTTTTTTTGTTTGTTTGTTTGTTTTTACTTAGGTCTGTTGCTTCTTGGTTTGATCGTGATGGGATTTTGATTCCAGAATTCTTCGATCGAGATGTCAATGAACTCCACAAATCTCTTTGTTCCGACAAGAAAGACAATTGACCAAATCTGTATGGACCAGCTTCATAGACCTGGATATCGACTTTCAACTTCTCTAAATTACTATAGTTATAGATATGGATAACATAACTTTGCCRTAACTTCATCAAGTTTTGGCATATAAATATTCATAGTTAGCCTAACTATCATAACGTAGCGAAATCTAAAATAATAAGTAATACATTCAAAAAGATTTCAGTGCWGTCGTTAGAGAAAAGTTAATAAGAAATAAAAAAGGTTAAAATGTACCCAATTAATAATATAGTTCTTGTGCATTTTTGCYGTGTTCATTTTTGAACTTTCATTCCTCTAACTTCACCTTGTGATCGTAAGTCTTCCAGTTCTGCCTTTGTATCGTCTTCTATTTTCCTGATATCGTCAATTGTCATTCCAAACCAATCGTCAATCCAACAAAACAGCTGACGRTGGAAGTTACGAAGAAGACGTTCAACACCTCCCATAATTGCGCTTTCCACTCTTCCTTGCAAACCCCACCAAACGAATTCCACATCGTAAAGCTTGTAACATGTCATTATTGGATAGTCATCCTTGTTCTTCCAGTCTTTTCCCAAAGGTCCACGTCCTGTTTTGATGGAATGAAATGTGCTTGGGTCTTCGTTCTCTTTATAATCACCAGGAGGTACTTCGCAATTGTTTGCAATATCTATTGAAATTATTTTTCTGCTTGCTAACTCCCTTTGAGTTAAATTATGAGCATTCACATTTTCCTCTGGCAGGCCATCTTTGTGCCAAGTAAGTATTGTGATGTGGAAACTCTCTTTCATGTAAGGGTTACTGTACTTCGTTACACAATAAGGGTAAGCATTCCATGCCTTTTCGTGTACTTCTAAAGCACCTTCAGGAGCTAACATACGAACAAAGAAGGGGACTTTGCTTGCTAGATGGAAAATCTTGTGAGTGTACTGCCCAGGTTCGTTACCGGTTGTTTTGGCATAGTCTGAGTCTGCTTCATAAGGCTCATTTTTCACAATTTCAATTCCTTCTCCTCCTCCAGTTTCGTTCTTGCTTGCTTCGGCTACAGCATACAACTGWCCAATTCGATACTCCTCAACAGAAATTGGAAGGGGAATTTGGTATTCTCTTAAAACCATTTTTGATGGAGCTACTCTATGTGCGCAACGGTTGAGGATCGTCAGAATCAAATATTAAAAACAATAATTACCTGCTGAATACTGTCGTTGMAAAATAACAGGTGACCACAACCAATGTCTATTTATATTCAGAATTTTTGTGCCAGGTTTTGATATTGACATAATCTTGAAGATCTGGCGAGGTTATCCAATTTTTTTACCTTGATTTTGTTCAACTTCTGTTTYKAACTTTCCATTATGAGATGTTTTTGGAAWTCAATGTATTGATGCGTATTTACAAGGATAAAAGATGTATCATGTATGTATAATGTATAATATTTGTGGCAGCGCAGTACCATAATTCCCGTCATCTATTAATAAGCGTGTTTGGTTTTGTTGGGGGAGGGGTCAATGAGGTATAATCCGTCGTAAAGCGAACGCATCAATCCGTGAAAAAAAAAAGAAAATTAGCATAATGTAGCACCTATTTTGAACTATTTATGTTTCACGGTTTGKGTGCGTGCCACGTGGAAAGTTTGCGAGCTAAACTCTTGTAAATTGCTATCAAAACTGAATATGAAACCTCAAAAAATGTTGCAGATTGTTTACCTAATAGTTCAGCATGTTAGCCTTTACCTCTTGATAGCATTCATTTGTTATTAAGATACGTTTTATCTTAAAAGGTGTATATGAATTTATTCTCAGCATTCATTTTAACAGTGCCRGTGATTTGCCACTAAAGTCTTGGTTGTACAATCTAAATTATSTTATTGATTTCATTTGATCTTTATCATCAGGTTTGTGGTAAGTAAAACAGTAACTTCTTTCTAATGGTCAATTAAAAAGATGCTCACTCAAATTGTTGTTTCCATTTAGTTATTAGAAATCATTATGCAGTAGTACAACACTTATACTTCAACAAATTCTTTGTATAAAAAAGCTTAAAATAAGAATTTGCCAAATTTCACAAGTTCCTGGTYGCTTTATGGTGGKCTTTATGGKGATTTTTATAAGCAAGCCTTTTTAGGTGCATGAACCATTTTTATTAACACAAAAATGAATAGGTGTTATGAATACAATTTATTATGCCATGGGATTTATACTAAATTATGTGCTTATCCAATATCTAATACTCTATACTCWGGAGCAGATACAGGGTTTTATCAAAAGTGGATTTTCAATCAGCCAAGGTCAATACTCTTTATGCCAATTACAACATTAGGAAGACTTGTAAAAATTCATTCTTCTAATTATTGTTAGAATCGTTTCATTCCTAAATTTTAGGGACCACAAAGGCAATGGAAATCCAGTCCACCTCCCAACCCCTGTATCCACACCTGATACTCTTATTGTCAAGTTCAGGATTGCAGGTGCACAAAATGATTTGAGAACAACAATACACTCCTTAAACAAAACTTGCATTCATTTTTGTTTAAAGATATTGWGTTCTATCTAAAAACTATTATGAAGCGCATTTATGGAATAGTCCTATTACTGGTGGTATATGCCACATGCACACTGTGCGGCCTAATTAGAAACTGTACGTTTTTATACACATGATAAGGTCACCTGTCCCCATTTAAGTAGAGTGGCTTAATCAAGAATGTTACCCAAATCATCTCATAAGGAAACACCTTTGTGGAAATGCAGCTTTTAATGCTGGCAGACATTTAAATGATTCGCCTTTTAACCTGCTAATCATTACTGTGTGGATGCAGATCTTTTGATCTGTTTTTTTTATCAAGCTAAATTTTAAAAATGCCATTTTCGATTTTTTGCAAGTGCTCTTATAAAACTCATTAATATTCATAAGGCAAAACACAATAGAAATCATAGCCCATGAAGAGAGTTGTATATTACATACAGATCGCCCGCTCATATTGTATATATTACATACAGGTCTCACCTATCACAGTACACTAGTAATGACACTTTTAAAGTAAAGTAGGGAATGGAAGTACTGTCCCATTTGCTAAAGGTTTGCTTTTTCTGGTGTTATGGAAATAGTTCATACAGTCAGTATAAACCAGAAGTTATCATATAATGATCATAACAATTAGTAAATACCATATTAACTCGAGCAAGCACCCTGAGACCAGTTGTGCAAAAGGTGGATTAAGTTAGGAGAGGCACTCTTTTGAATAAATATGGTATTATAAATCTGACTGACAATGTAYCAAACAAGGATGGCAAAGCCAAAAGCGAACTTACTTTAGATCACTGATAATACAATTTGCTGAGGAATATACTTCCACTTTTCTTACTTACTGGGGGCTTATAATCAGTTCATGTCATAGTTTTTCTTGAAATTAATTCATATATAGTTCCAATCAAAAAGTTTGTTATGCCTTTAAAAGGATAATAGTTGCATTTAGATTATCATTTTTCAACCATTCCTTTCACATTGCCTTCCTGTCTCATATTTTCTAAATCTTGTTTTGTTTGCTGTTCGAGCTCTCTGATATCTTCAATTGTCATCCCATACCATTTATCGATCCAGCAAAAGAGTTGACGATGAAAGTTGTGAAGTAATCGTCTCACAGCTCGGACGATGACACTTTCCACTTTGGTCTGTAAACCCCACCACTTAAAGTGTATGTCATAAAGCTTACAGCATGTCATAAGGGGATAGTCATCTTTCCTGYCCTTCCAGTCTGCCCCCAGAGGTCCACGGTTAGTTTTTTGGGAATGAAATTTGCTTGGGTCTTCGTCTTCTTTGTAATCATTAGCGGATACTGGATCGGTAACAATGTCGATTTTATCAATCACCCGCTTGGATAGTTTCTCAGCATTAAGTTGGTGCGCGTTGTAGTTATCCTCCGGGAGACCTGCCTTGTGCCATGTTTCAATGATGATGTGGAAATTATCTTTCATATAATCAGGGTTGCTATATTCAGTTCTACAGTACGGGTACGCATTCCATGCTTTCTCGTGAATTTCTAAAGAACCTTTGGGTGCAAGAAGACGTATAAAAGCTGGAACTTTGCTGGCTAGATGAAATATCTTATGCGTGTACTGTCCAGGGTATTCAATATTTCTGGCTTTTGCCTCCTTGTCATCAGTATCATAAGCCTCGTTTACCACAATTTCAATTCCTTCTCCTCCTCCAGTTTCGTTCTTGCTGGCTTCGGCTACAGCATACAACTGTCCAATATGATACTCTTCCACAGAGATCGGCAATGCAATTTGATATTCTTTGATAACACCCATCACATCAGATTGTTAAGCACCWACTTCCAACAAATTTTCTGTAAAACTAGAGAAGAAACCGAGCCGGTRAAACTTCTCCACACTCCAATATGGCGGCGTGTTCTTGCGAAAGAACGATCGTCGGAGGCGTGGGCACTAATGACGTAAGTCGCCGCCCAAAAGAGCTGGCTTTTCATTATAAATTCAAGTTGTAATTAGGTAAGGCCTATCGGGGGTTTTGATTTTCAAACGCAATATCCTCGCTCATGAAGTATATTTTTTATAATTATTATTATTCTTTGTGACCTTAATTCTTATTCTTAATTGATATCGGTTGAAAATTGTGAGTTGAAGCTTGTGGAGTTCCTGTGGAGTTGTTGCTATGGGTGACGTCATGGAAAGCAAAAGAGCTCAGCTAACTGCAACATGGATGAAGATAGTTCCTTTTTTATGCCTTTGTAAACAACGTCTTTGAATCATTCTATATGGTTAAAGTAGAGCTTTAAGTAGATGGAAAAATTTTCATTGTCTGTGGTTACAATTTTAGTAAGTTTTCGCGATTTTGATCTCTGAATGCGGGGCCAAAGTACATGTGCTGTTTGTTGTGGCGGCTTGTGTCAACATCCAGAATGTTGGCGTTCAAATATCCAGCAAGTAAGAGAGGCAGTTTGGCGCAGAAATGGTGTTAACTCWCATGAAAGAACTCACGATAAGTTGCATCTACAAAAAGAGCAGCGCGATGATTCCAGGCATGGTAAGTTTGAAGAGCTTGTGATAACTTAATTATAATCCATAATACCTTGCACCCCATYGGGCTCAGTTGGTGTAAGCTACGGTAGGTGGTAGCTAGAGTTCCATAAATGTACYGTACATGAACTGAGGGTTTGACCCTGGCTTTTCCTTTATCTCATGGATCATAAAATAATCGAGGAGTATAATGCTTCCTTTCACTGGTTTCTCTTAGAATATTTTCTAAGCCAAAATGAGAAAATGGGGGGAGGGGTAATCCCTTGAAAAGTTCGCAGGTATGCTCGATGGACCTTTTAGGGTCGAAAATAAAACCCTCGCTTTTAGGGTCCTGAGCTGACTCAGTATCTTTTAGGGTCAATTTTCGAAGAACGGGGGGAAAATTAAGAAGTGTTATAAAGAAATAGATTTTATTAACCTCAACAACACTCAACAATCTATCCACATTGATTTTCTACAGTTTATTAAACTTCAGCTTTTCTCTTGTTAAAGAGTCAAAAATGGTCGTACCTTTTAGTGTCTGGATTCACTACTTGAATTAATTTATGCRTACCTTTTAGGGTCATTTTTTAATCCGTCCGTTGAGCATACTAGTACCTACCAACTTTTATAAGGGACAAATGAAACCAGTTCATGCATTGAAAATGGAATCTAATAACAGCATTTCATTTCTTGCATTTGCATTGCTTGTGCTCACTCTAAAAACTAGATGCAAACATTTATGATGAATTGCAGATGATTTTGATTTAAGGTGATTTGCCTACTCTGAAGATAGTGGATATTTTTAAAAAATAGATGCAAACATTTATGATGAATTGATGATTTTGATTTAAGGTGATTTGCCTACTCTGAAGATAGTGGATATTTTTAGTGATCTCGATGCTGGTGTACAAAAGACATCCAGAAAATATCTTAATCAAATCCACCAAAGATCATCTTCATTGCCTTGTTTACCTTCTGCTGTTGTAAGGTATGATTCTTATAATATACAGACATCCTTGTTTTTTTAATTCAATCCTTTTGAACTGTGGGTTTTTTATTCACATTAGCCAAGAAAGCATATTTAGTCTGCCTCGATCACCACGGCAATCTCCTGCTCTGACATCACCTCCACTRACGGAATATCAGCGCAGGATGAAATGGAAAAAGCAGCTTGATGGTCTTTCAAGAGTTAAGAATGCTTCAGACTCCATCAAARTGTCAACTATTGGAGTCCATGAAGTCTATGAAGATAATGAACTGGATCAAGAATGGCAGGAGGTCTATGTTACCTCTGCCTATCTTGTATGGTGCCCATCAAATAAAAAGGTAATTGGAAGGACTATTGAGCCTTTGGTAGTGGCTGCTATAGCTAAGAAAGGCTGAAGATTGAATATCAACAAAATAACAGAATTATCAGAATTTGGTGACAAGTAAATATAACCCAGCAATGGTAAAATATCAATAGCAGTCACTGTTGGCTAAACATTACTCTAATAAAGTGTATTCTGTATTGATTAATATCTAAGTGATTTATTCTTGTAGGGAAGGAAAGCCAAAAGAAACTCAAGTAATAGGTAGATCAAATTGATAGTGTTTGTTTACCATTAACTACAATGTTATAGACTTCTCATTATAATTGGTTATTGATACATGATTATATTTTAGATATTACTGTATATTGTTTTGTATTATAATATATCATATCAAGAAGATACTGTACTGACCATGCCTTTATTTGATTTTCAAGTGAAAAAAGACATAACAATAAGAAGGTCATCCCTAAAGATGTAACAGAGGATCTTGTTCCTGCTTCTATGGAAACCATAAAACAAGTAAGAATTTACAATAATTCAGRAATGTTGAGTGTGAGCAATAGTTGAGCATCAGCTCAGAGCTTCAAAATATGACCCCCGCAAGGAATGACGTTGAATAGGTGATATGCATATGGCATCATTTACTACAACTACCAGAATGCTTTGCAAACTTTCTTTTGTAATGCAATTAGTGCCAATTGTTTTATTAATCTCCAAGGGGATTAAAAATCTGAAACAAATGAAAATGCGCAAGGCTCTCTGGTTGTTGTAGTAAAGTTACATCATAATGCAAACAGCCTATTGTATAAAATGGCTATATACATTGTTTAATCTTGAGAGTTAAGCTTTTTAATCTATTTTTTATAAATTAGTGTCGCCCAAAGTCTACAAAAACACCAACAGGKGGTCAGCCTTTCTCTCCTCACAAATCTGTGACAAATCCTGCTTTGTGTCAGTATGGGTAAGTGTAACGTTCTTTAATTTTGGAAGATGTACATGTGATTATTKTGCARTGTTTTTCTCYTATTTATTGACRTTTGTTATGTTTAMTTTCTTTGYGTGTGTTTTTGTTKTTGTTGTTTTATTTTTCGCTTGTCTGTTTTCCTTCCTTTATCCTTGATATGAAAATAATAGTTTAATGCAATTGAAAGTAATACTAATACTAATACAAGGAAAAATTGAATATTTATTAACCTTTAATGTTGCTCTGTATTTCTTAAAAGAATGGAAGATCTTTCAAATCTACCAAAACCAGTGTTGTCAGGAATTTTGAAGAGGATCAATTGGAGGTATTTATAATTCATGATTCTATCACCATAAGTATAACAATATTGATACTTGCATCACATATTCATGYCGGTTTATATATATTTGTGTTTAGAAGTAATGAAGGGACTCCCAGTGAAGAGCAGGAAAAAACTAAAAACACTGATGCTGAATTAGTTGCATCACAGCAAGAAGGATCAAAGATGCTTTTGGCAGTTGATATTAACTCACGATTTACAACACCTGAAGAAGATGGAGAGGAAAAGGAACAAAAAGATATTGATAAAGAAAATAGCAACATAATAAAGGAGACAACAAAAACTGAACCATTTAGAACAGAAGACTTAAATGACATGAAACAGAGAAGGGAATTCTTATCAATGCATTCTATTGGTCTACCTATAGATGATTTACCTGAACCCAAACACCACCATTGCACCAATTCAATTCCCAGAAGAATGAGCCTGGGTGTGTCTCTAGAACCAGTTAATTTAGTACCCATTACGCCCTCACCTGCACCGACACCTAAGCAATCTTCTCAAAAAGATCTAAGTATTGAGGCACAAAAACCTGATGAACCATCACTGGTTGTGAATGTACCAAGTGGACGACCTGAGTCAGCCCCAATGCATAATTCTTTGGACATATGGGAGAAATTCCAAGATCAATACTATGTCAACTCTGCTTTCAGGTATGATGTGGAATCTTTATTTGTGTGTGATTGTGTATACTATAGAATGACAGTTTTTTTCATGTTGTACCAATAAATGAACTGAAACTGATTTGTGCATTTGGRGATGTACAGGCCTTTTTCACAGTGTCCGGCACTGACATTCACATGATTCTCTTTTGTTTACCAGTCAGAACAACTTATCAATTCACTATTAATTTTTCTCCTCAGATACACACCGTCACCTGTAAGAGCACCAGCGCCAACTCCAATAAGTCCTGACAAATACTCGGAATTTGCTCGCTATTCAAGAACCTCTCGTCGCACAAGTTCATCGCAAGACGAACAGATTTTGAAATCAATGCGACGATGGAACACATTAAGCAGTGTTTACGATTCCGACGACACTAGAGAAAGATGCGCTCCTATAGAAAAAGATGCGTTCTGTGATAAAAAGAACGGGCTTTTAGAAGGAGGGAGCGTATTCCTCACTGAAGGAGTCACGGATGAAATCGATAAGATGGCAGTTCCTACACCCAAATGCCGTAGTCCAAGCCCAGGCAGTATGACCTGTATTCCTAAAGACATTATTGAACAGTTTCAGGGAGACATATATGGCAGACGATATCCAAGGACAGAAACTAAAGAAAAATTAACTAGAAAAACTTTAACACATATTAGCACAGGAATTGTGGCACCTGGTTGGCGACCACCAAGGTCAAGGACACCTATTCAATTATCGGAAACACCAGCACGTTATCCACCTCGTCCTCTGCGACAGCCACCTGTAGAATCTATACCAAAGTCACTAAAAATCATTTCCATTCCCAAACAAACTGAGCGATTTAGGCGCCCAAGGAGTACTCCTCCTCGGACGAATACTCCAAATGACAACGATCTAGTACCATTAGTATTRTCTGAGTCATCCTTAGTTAATCAAAGCGTAGAGTCTGCCATATCTATGGAAGTACAAGGAACCTCTTCGCAYAGTACTGATCATGGAGCAATACCGCCGCCACCCTCTCCAGAGGCTTTGAAAAATGAGTTGCAACCTACTCTAGAGACACTTTGTGAAGAAGATGAGCGAAGTAGTAGAAACACAAGTATAATTGATGTTATTGACAAGGAAATGCCTTTGTCAAGATTATCTCCATTAGGCGGTGGCAGCGAAATCAGTGATGAATCAGTTGATCTTCCAATTGAGCTTGACGTACGCCAATCCAATAATGATAGTATCACAGAATTTAAAAGTGAGTTCCCTCAGAAAGAACAAGAAAATCTATTGATTTCTGAAAAAGCATATACATATAAGACTGATCAACACCAACCAGAATTTGATTTAAAGCTCGCACGTTTAGAAGGAGGATCATCCGAACGATTCCCAGAGGAAGTGTCGTCCAAACTACAACCAAAAGAAGTGCCTTCTAAACCACACCCAAATCAAGTGTCATCTAACGCAGACGAAGTGTCGTCTAAGGCACATCAAGGAGACGTCTCGTCCGAACCACACCAAGAAGAAGTGCTGTCTAATCCTCGCCAAGAAGAAGTACTGTCTAAACCGAACCAAGAAGAAGTGCTGTCTAATCCTCACCAAGAAGAAGTGCTGTCTAAACCGAACCCAGGAGAAGTGCTGTCTAAACCGAACAAAGAAGAAGTGCTGTCTAATCCTCACCAAGAAGAAGTGCTGTCTAATCCGAACCCAGAAGGAGTGCTGTCTAAACCACTCGTAACAGAAGATTATTTTGTACCACGCCCAAAACAAGTGTCTCCTGAGCTACATCCGAAGCAAGAGTCACGCGAGACGAACGATAATTCTAGTTCTCTAGAAATGCTGGAAGAGAAAACAGATTTGCTCCAAGATTTACACCAACCACCCGGCTCTCCTGATGCTGCATCGACTCCGGATTTCACAGAAGGAATTGATATGGAATTAGACCTAGCTGCTGAGCTCCAAGCCGCTATGGAGGGACTTGATGATTTTAACATTGATGATATTAATGAGGACGAGCGTTAACATTAAGCATAGAAATGTGTTATAAATATAGTATACAACATGAACATATTTTTTATTATAAGTGAAACAAAAAAATTCTCTTTTTTGATTGAACTGTACAAAGTGAATCTTGATTTTCTTAAAATAAATTTATATTTTGTCAGATAATGTCACGCATTAGAGTGCACTTGACTATGGCCGTGAAATAGTTACTAATACAATCTCCTTCGTCTTCTGGTATTTAATTAGTGCAATTTTGTGCAATTTCCTACAAAATGCGCTCTATTATTTATAACATTAGCTAAGATAAGATCTCTAAAACATCCGCGGCAGTCTTTGCATTTGGTTGTCAATGTCCAATGAGTCAATGTGCACTGTGTTCCGATCGTTGTTTTGCCATGTACCGTACAACTTCAACTGGTTTAGCAATGACACGAGTTTTAACCTAGGAATTCATTTTCGTAGTTACTAGGTTTTTTTTCCTTTTTTGGCTCAATGAGGCAACTAATTGAGTTTGTTTAGATTATTAAATTAGCCCTTTTTCGTGAGCCACTGACGAAGACGGAATATTTGCCGATATTATAGTTTAATGAACGTATTATCTATGAGCATGATAGAACTCTTCCTTAGMTACAATATGATGAATTATTCCCACTGTGAACTTAAATGCTAAGTGGGTACTTAGAACTGGCGTTAATATTACGATAAGTCTGCTTTGATAACACTTGCAGTAATTACTGTATGTGGCTGTCAACTTCCTTTATAATTCCCTAGAGACCAGAAAATGCCTTCTTGCTTTAAGATAAGAAATGACAGGTCCTAATGAGGATGACGTGARTAGAATATCCGATGCAGAGACAGATAATTGCTTTTAAATGATATTTCATCTGTTCATCGTGCCTGCAGCTTTCCGCATATATGAGATAAAAGATTTCAGGTAGCCGTTCTATAAATACAAAGAGACAAAAGAACAAGTCATAAATGAGAAAAGGCTTTCAACTCAACACGGATAACGGCGTCAATTGCCTTTTGACTGACGTATTTATACACTGTTTGATGTAAACGAATAAGAGCGCAAACAACACTGTTGGATTTAGTACACCCGATAATTGATCATTTACGAGGTGGYGGCCATGAACAATTCTGTGGTTGGTAATATCTCTGTACTCCAAGCATCGSGTCTTACATCAAATTCTTGTCTTTATGGACCGATACCGAAAGGACAACAAGAAGTAAAGCAATTCGAAAGCTTCTGTAAATGCCGAGTTTTTGAAGAAGGTACTCTAGATACCCTGCTGGTCGAAGATATCTTGAGCAAGTTCTTTTTGACCATCTCGGTTATTGGAAACCTTTTCGTGATAATTGTTCTCAATCGAATGAGAAGAGGTTTTTTCAATGCTCCCATGAAAGCGCTATTACAAAATCTTTCAGTGGCTGATATGACAGTATGCATTTTGTATAACGTCAATGAAGCAGTAGGGATTAACTCGCCGTTAACAACCAGTACTTTTTGCAAGCTATTTGGTGGGCTTCTGTGGGCATCGTTGAGCAGCTCCAGTTGTGCAGTATGTTGCGTCTCTATGGAAAGATATCTGGCCGTAGTCAAGCCACTGGAATTCAATCTCACGAAGAAAAAAGCAATGCTAATGGTATTGTTTTCGTGGTACTATTCCCTACTTTTTACCATCCCTGACTTCTACTTTTTGGACCGATTCTTTGTGGGACCTGTATGCCTTCAAGGTATCGTACCGATTTGTTTTTATGCACATTGGAAAGGTATTGCCGTGTCGACCATGAATCTTATAAACATAATCGCAACGTTTGTTATCCCTCTCATTATCGTTGTGTACACCAATGTAACCATCATAGTTATTATGCTGAAGTCCGCCAAGGCAAATAAAAGGAAAAGTATCGAGCAAGGGAGCGCGAAGAGGAGATCGGGAGTTATAATGATAGTACTCCTTTTAACTATGATGTACGTGATCTGCTCTGTCCCGTTTACTATCCACTATATACTRAATGCAATTCCTACAGGTGTAGAAGTTCATAAGAACTTCACATATGTCTCGTATTATCTAATGTTAGTGAACAGCTCGTGCAATCCTTTTATCTACTCGTTCTTCAGCGCTGAGTTCCGCAAGGAGTGTGTAACTCTCATCTCTTTACCTTGTCGMTGGATAAAGGACAAGCTGGGACTATAGACGAAATTGCATGCGTGTAACCTGCTAGCTCAAGCATAGCTAACTATTATTAACTGTGGTGCACGTAAAGAAAGTATATATGAAATGAACAAATCGYTAGAAAAGACTTATGGCTAACAACATTCTATATCAAGATACTCTTGAAGTCCGACTCAAAAAAAGCACCTGCCGCCAAAGGATTGATAAACAGATATGTATAATGGCTTACTTTTAGCAGCACAGACGATATCACAAAGGTTACCGCACAATACCAAATCCCCSCAAACTAATCCGCTGTGATTAAACATATTTTCCCTGCTACATCACCGCATCTCAAGCATATCTGACTAACATTCTAAACAAGATCGCGAGATTACGATAATCCTTTTAGTTGAACATTGAGTCGAGACTGGAAGACAGCACCATGAAGYACTATGACCTAAGGGGCTAAATTGTCCGTCAACATGAGCATTCTAAGACAAACMGTTGCACGACAAACAATTATATACCAATGCACTAATAAATATCTATATATGTATGATTTCTAGTTCCTTCTAATAAGTAGCTACTACTGTAACAAAGTCTCATTTCACTTAAATAAATATTGCGGGAGAGAAAATAAAGTGACTTGGTTCTGTTTCCGCTCTTGAAAGAGTTCCATAATGAACGATTATTACATCTTTTTAATGGACATTTTCCTGAATTTGCTATCAAAGCATTACCGTTATTTGTGGGTGGAACAGTGAATAATAGAAAATCATTAATCAGTTGTGCAGCCTCCATTATATAAATGCAAATTTCCATGATAAATTTTCAATATTGCACAATTTACGTTTTCTTGGTACTGGTACTGTCATATGACCATGCATCCAAATCGAAAATCTGAAAGTCATTTTACTTTTAAGAGGGGATGGCTGATTTTGAGGGGAAAAAAGTTCATGCACGTTTAATATCATACCACAAAACATTAGCAGTTTTTATAGGGTAATCAGTTCAATACAGATAGTTCTGAACACAAAATAGTCACGTAATTTTCTGCCGTCGACGTTTTTCCACTGATGAATGACGGAGTCCTGAGTCCACAACATGTCGGTTAAAAGTAATTCTTAAATCTTTATAATTCTGAAAATTCTCTCCAACGGAATAGTATGGGCAAGCCCTGGCTTCTCGGCAGGTGTCCGTCTTCTTTGTACTTTTAGCAAGTGCAGCCTGTGAAGGAGGGTACCAAGGAGTCTCACTTCACGAACGTATTAGTACTCAGTCTCGCGCGGCAAAGCGGAAGTCTATCCAGGGAAGATGTTCGATTTCTGGAAGTTACTATGGAAGTTAAAGTTGTTCATGAGGTATAAATTCGATTGTGTAGATTGTTTTGCATGGTTTTAATGTTTATTAGGTTTTGYCGAATTAACTTGAGTAAATACTGTTACATTCCAGGTGATATGATCACTTCTTASGTACAAAGAAGCCAACCCTATGTTGCAACCATGTTGCATCGAATGTAATTGTTTGCATTTCATTTTGTAGGGCAATTTAGAGAAGTGTTCGTCTGCGGACGAGCAAGTCAAAAAGGCAGAGTGGAAGAAACGCTATTTTGTATTTAAACACTTTCCAGCGAGCAGCACKAAATGTTTAGAGTATTACAAAGACGGGAAGAACTGGCGTAAGCAAGATGCCAAAGGTGTTCTGACTCTCCACCCAGGCTATGAAGTCGTCAAAGTATTCAATTCCAAAAGAAAGTTTGTATTTGACGTCAAAACGGTTGAACACGTATTTCGACTCTCTGCCCATTCTGAGGATGACCTGAATAAGTGGATTTTGATTCTAGAGAAGGAAAATATTGGTGAGTTAATATGTTACAATTTACCCACACGGGATATATCACATTTCGGTGCAGATTATTTCATTTGTAGTTTCCAATTTCTATATATATGATGCTTATTTTTTAGTATTCTAATCAGTTTTATAACCGGAACTGTTGCCTTTGTCTGATTTCTATATTCTGGTTTTATTATATTGCTCTTTTGTCTCGCAAAGGCCCTTCATGTATTATTCACGATGACTATTTACATGCAATTTGACATGGATTTTTTTTATTATTTCCGTTTAWTATGATTAATGACTAACTCTAGTATGCATTAGTTCAATCATTTTTATGTTGTAATTTTTMTAAAACATTTTGTTTGTTTACAGTCAAATCGTTTGTAGTGGAGCCAGTTCTAGATGATGTTATGGCAAAGATAGGGGCCCCAAACACTTGTCATTTGTTCATAGCTGATACAGAAATACGGCTAGTCTCAGCACAAGATGGAAGTCAGCTTATTGCATGGCCATTTACTTGCTTGCGTAGGTACATGAGCTCACGGGGAAAGTTCTCCTTGGAAGCAGGGCGTCGAGCACCAACAGGTGAAGGCAAATTTATATTTATAACATCACAGCATGATGAAATCTACAAACTGCTAGATAATGTCATTAAATCACGTGCTGGAAGTACAACATCTGCACCTATGTCTAAACCAAGTCATCTACCATTACAAGAACCAATCCAAAATGATGACAGTTATGACCATCTTATGTCTTCTCCACTAAAAGGTGTTGCTCCAATACACACAGTTCATCCCAACTATAATCAAAACATTATGATCTCCTCTTCAAATCAGAAAAGTACTAAGTTGCCAAACAGTAATGATTATGCTTCTCCATATGGGCATATGAAAAACCATGAATCTGTCACATCTTCAAGAGGAGATGCTGAAATAATGCAGAAAAGTGATGATATACTGCCCAGCAAAATGCAAAATAATGATGGCTATGACCTACTCAACCCAACTATGCCAACAAGAAAACCACCCCCTCCCCCCATGAGTAATGAAACCACAGGAGAAAATGAAGAAGATTTTTACAACACAATCGGTTACCAGGTGACAGACAAAGAAGGAGAATGCTATGATACACTAGATCATAGCTATAAACAAGATGATACCTATGACAGTTTGGACCATCAACAGGGTTCTGTTCAAAAGCCTGGAAGACATAGCTTCTCTACTTCTTTTGAGAAAGATACTTTTGGTGGTGACACATATAATATCCTTGAACATGTGGGGGGAACTCCTGTAAGTAGTCCTTTACCATCAAAGGGTGTGAAAGTTGATGAATATAGCACTCTTGACAGAGCTTCTTCTCACATGGGGGCAACTATAGGCAGTCCAGCATTAAGGGATATGGGAATTGATGAGTACAGCACTCTTGACAGACCTTCTCATCATCCACCACTTCGTCAAACCAAATCTTTCCCAATACCTCCTCCAAAGCTTCCAACAACTGCAAGTGAGCCAGACTTGTCTCAAGGGTTTGATCGAAGCTCCATTTCAAGTCCATCAAGTTTTGGCTCAGTTGATTTTCAATGTAGAAGTAGAGATAGTCAACTATCTCTACCACCTGATGACCAGGAATTCTATTCAAGTATTGATAGTGAAGTGACATCCAAGCAAACCAACCTAAAACCACTTCCAAAATCAAGACAAAAAGATGTTGATGAGGACAAAAACAGGAACAGTGTTGTATCTAATCTCAGAGCATCTCTTATCGCTGATGGTCTAAATTTAAGTAAAATCATCCCTWGTAAGTTAGGGCTAAGAAGATGCTCTGTAGAAACCATAGAAGAAAGTGATACGTATGATCAGATCAATGAAGGAGTCTCACAAAACCAGAAAAAAATCACAAACAAGCTGATAAGGTCTCCATCTGCACCAACTGAGCCTGAAGACATTTATGAAGATCCTGAAATTTCATCACATCAGTCAAAACCCAAAGTACCTGGAAAAAAGCCTGAAAAATCTCGCAAAAAGAAATCATAATAAACATTTTAGTGAAGTCTTCAAAAGAAATTCCTCCTTCTAGTATTTGAGAAACTAAATTCTGATATAATCAAATTTTATGTTGATACACTTTTTACTGACAGATAAAWTGGGACATTTTATGCTTAGAGCGGATTTCGTATGAGTGGGAAACAGATGGTACAGYACTGTAACCGTAATTGTACTGTAACCAAATCCTAGTGCCCCATTGGTTCACAAAAATTGTGCAGGCCAGGTCCGGTAACTGTGTGGTAACCGTGCAGTAATTTCTACTGTTTCCCACTCATACGAAATTGACTCTAATAATTATGACTGTATGAATTGTTTTTACTCATCTTCTATGATTGCCAAATCAGTTTATCTCTTTATTGACAATATATGGATACACTTCAAATAATTGGTTGTAAATCAACACATTCACTTAGTTGATAATATTGGTAATATACAATGAAATATAAAGTGATATATGTAATGAATTTTCAATATGAATATGCAATAATACTATTATCATGTTAGCAAACAGAATTCATGCAAATGACAGTATAGGTAAGTAAAACAAATAATGAAATATTTAAGAAATACAAAATTAAACAAATGCTTCTATAAGTACTAAATACTTTGTAAAATAAATGTAATTGCAAGTCAACATTGCTAGTCATACAATTCAGTAAAAGATTAAAAAGCATTAATATGATCTTCTCTCCTAAGTATTTAATATTGTTAGGATTTCTGTTTTTTGTTCACCCAGCCATCAGTGGAGCTAACAGCTACTACTATTGAACTGCAATCATTATTAATTTTCCTCCTTGTACTGTGGCCATTTAATATTGTTAGGATTTCTGTTTTTTGTTCACCCAGCCATCAGTGGAGCTAACAGCTACTACTATTGAACTGTAATAAGAATGAATTTTCCTCCTTGTACTGTGGCCATTTGAATCCTCCATTTTTGTTCACCCAGCCATCAGTGGAGCTAACAGCTACTACTATTGAACTGTAATAAGAATGAATTTTCCTCCTTGTACTGTGGCCATTTGAATCCTCCATATCCTTGCAGAAAGTCAACTATCTTACATGTCAAGCTGTGGAATCAGTTTGATTTACATTCTTTTTCTTTGATCCAAAATGAGGAGAATTGGAAATAGCCCTATGTAAGGTCTCCACATCTCTTGACGAAGGGACTGATGAAGGCTTTCCATCATTGACTTTCTTAACTTTGACTTTATAGCTTGATTCATSATCTCTGTTTAAAGAACCACGAAGCGCCATGGATACTCTCTCTACTTTGGGTGCCTGGGCTGAGATGAATTCATTTTCAATTTCAGTATCTTGGTCATGAAAATCTTCACCTGAACTAGAGTCCATGGCTGCAAGTCCTTTGAAAGTGAATGGGGTAAATGAGAAAGAATTAAGACGTGGTGATCCTGCAAGACTTTCATGGCTACGGCTTTTTCTTCTCTGCTTTGAAACTTCATATTCTTTACGGCGCTGTTTTTCRGCTGCCTCTCGATTCTTCTTCTTCTTGGACTTATCAACAGTTGCATACAGTGTTGACAACACCTCAACGCTCTTAGAATGAGCAGAATTCAAATATACAAAATTAGGAGAAGCACTTGTCTTACAGTAGTTACTGTTTTCATTCGATGTGTCTGTCATCTCTAATCTTTTTCGMCCAAATGCAGGTAATGTTTTACCACGTTGAGTCTGGCCATCTGATTGTCTAATGTCATCTGCTTGTGTAGGAGGGGGTATCYTTTGGTCTTTGTGAGGTGGTAGTATATCACAGGGTGGCAGCATCTCCACTGGTGGATTGCCTTTCCGTTTCTTAGATCTCTCAGGTAGTGGAGGAGGAGCAGGTTCACTTTCTGTAAGAGTAGATGAACTAACTGCTCCCTCCTGTAGAGGACTACTGCCAAAACCACTACTCATTGACAAAGGTTCATCAAAATTCACAGCAGTTGACAGAGGAGAAGTGAGCTCATCAGAGAATACTTCACCTTTAGGAGATACCTCAAGTGGGCAAAGCCGAGCATCTTTCCTGTTGTCTGTGGTTCCACGGAAACTCTAGAATTGTCAACACAAAAATGAACATATTACTAATAATTTTAGTAGCAATGGTCCTACAGTATATATATATATTACTTACAGATGATATATGACTATATCCACTTGGTGATCGATTCAACCTCCCTGCATGACCCTCTTTTACACTGAGATTTATTTGAGAACGTGCATGATCAAGACTGTCATAGTTRGCAGCAGCCCCACTGCCTGGTGGAAATCCCTCACTTTTCGACCCAAAACTTGAATGCCGTTCTATACTGTTATACCCWTCAGTACGATCTATAGATGTAGAGAAGCTGCCAATACTTAGCCTTCCACTGCCAATACTGTCAGATCTTTCAATGTGGGAATAACTATCATCCTCTGAATCAATATAATATTCACATGCTTTTAAAACTTGTTATCCAGAAGAAAGTTCAATTATCCTTAAATTACCTGGCTGCTGGTTATTTATTGGTCKTGGTTTACTTGAAAGATTAGGAGCATCATCATCAAATGGTCCTTTCAGGGAGAAAACCACAATGAAAAAATCATAAACAAAGACCTACAGTGGCTATTATCTGTAGAGTGATAAGAGAGTCAAACAACTGACATGATGATATGCTAATACAGTCAACTCTCGCCTTACGGACACCCCGCTACAACAGACAGCTTGATATTGTGGACTGTAAAATACTGAATCCCAGCAAAAAATACAAAGAAATGACTGAAAGCAACTCTTGTTACAATGGACTCTCGCTACTGCAGACACTAAATTACGGCCCCGAGGGTGTCCGTTCTAGCAAGAGTTGACTGTACAATAATTGACTGTCATCCTTAACTCCAGCAAAAAGGGATTAATAATGCATGAAATATCAGTAAGCTTAAAACAATAATATTGACCAATCGTTACCTGAATGAAAATTTAAGACACTAAATCGTAGTTGGTCATAGGCTCTTGACATCTCCTCCTCGCTGTTGGCAACAAGGGCTGCTCCTCCACGGGCATTCAAACGCTGGCTTGCAAATTTATCAATGGTGTCAAAAATCKTGTTGTCTTCACCTGGAAAGGTGTAGAAAGTATACTTTCCTTCTCCCATCGGAGAACGTCTTCCAGCTTCAAAACTAAATTCACCACGGTCCATTGACTCATAGTTGCGAATTGTTGTCAGAGGCCACTGAGCAAGAACTGACCTTGTACGTTCAAGAGCAAGAGTAATACCCCACTTAGATATATGAAGAAGACAGTTTTGATCTTTTGCACCAATTYTCTGCATGGGTTTGCTTCCACTGCCTTTTATTCGAAATGTTTTTCCTATGAGAAAAAAGCAATTGTTCAGAGTTTGTGAAAAATGATATCATTATTTGCATTGCTATACATGAATTCATAACAATACAGCCTTTTGCAAAAATTATGAGAATTGTCTAAATATCTAAATATCATAATATCCATATCCACATATTGTCCGGAACACGAGGGTTTACTAGAATAATTCATTGTTTACATCAAGAAAATGCTCAGAACTACGGATAAGTCTGTCTCCAAAATAACTAAACAATAAAGACAAGGGACTACRGCCATCGCGCGGGATCATGCACTTGATATTATGATATTTAGATATTTCAACAATTCTCATAATTTTTGCAAAAGGCTGTAATGCACAATTCATTAGTATTATGAAATTATAGTTGACTTAGACAGCAAAGTGTCTGGTTTACTGTCTGATTTACTCAACAATAAAGTTTGGTTAACTGATAGGCTAAGATAGTAAAAATGCCTGGTTTATACTCTGATAGCCTAAGATAGCAATAATGTCTGGTCAAATGCGATTGACAAATAACAATAATGTCTCGTTAACTGATTGACTAATTTATTCATGTTTCCCAATTATTATTGACTGCTATCAATCAAAATTTTAAAACAAACCAGCTACTGGCACCAAAGCACTTACTTTACTGAAAGTGTCTATTACTAAAAAGAGCAACTAAAACTGATTGTGTAGCTGCAGTGCAAACAAAGTAAAATAAAGATGTACATACAATAAAAAGTGGTTGAAGAATCAAGTTTGAGCTTAGATCCCTCCCCTTTCAATTCCATTATCATTTGAAACTGACAATACATAAAAAAACCTTTTTCAGTCTTTATCTAAGGCCATATCATCAAATCTATTTTAGGAAGAGAGCATGGGAAGGAAAATAATTGGTGTAAGGTTCTGGTTGTTAACAGGTTTATGTTCCCAAACACTGCTTGATTGCTAAATAATCGTTGCTTTCTGTGAAAAATGCGTTGATAATGTAAATGTTTTCTAATTTAGATTCAAAATTGTGTTGAACCAAAATTTAACGATTTCAACTTTTTGAACCTGATGACATTTTTTCTTTAGTAGCTAAATATATAAATAAAATKTGTTACCTATACCTCTGCATACATTAGTACATTAAGTTGTTATTCAAGCTTTGAAAAAATTTAACTAGTGGATCCATCCCTGTGTGTATCAGTCTAACACAGCATAATTTGTGATAATAACTGCATGTCGGAAGGGTACCTTCTACTCGTGGGTTCAGTCTTGTTTGCATCTGGAGCTGCATGACCCACAAGTCCATGACTGTTTCTGATTCTGCAGCAAGGATATAGGTATCATTGTCATTGTTCACTTCAAACACATAATGCCTTCCTTTCATTTCATTGCGTTTTAGTACTCTATACTGTGAGAATAGTTCAAGAGTTCCCCTGGCAATCTGATTCCTCCAGTTTTCCTCCTTGTCAAACCACTGAATAAATGCTTGATCTGTAGAACAGTACTTGCGTAAAACATAAAATCCCTTCTTCCACTTCTTTGAAAAGGATTTCTTTATCCAACCCTTGCCATCATTGTCTTCCACTGGATGCTCTAAAACACCCTGGATATAATCAAGCTATTTAATTAATACAACGGTTGATAATGTTAAAAWAAGTTTATATCTATTCTTGATATTTGTACATTTCAAGTTTATACATGCTTGGAAGATGCATTTAAATGCATAATTGCAGATATCTATAAATTGCTCAAAYGTCATCACCTTGTTCTATGTCCTCTAATTTAATAATTAGTATAAATACACAGCTGGGTTGTCACAACGTCTTGATATTTAAGAGCCCAGTCAGACAACTTTGGCACGTGATTAAAAAACACGTCCGTACAAATAGAGATGCATGCAGTGTCCGATATTAAAGTTAAGTTTCCATAAACATACCTCAATGATATCCTCTATGTCCTCCATTTTGACTTTATGTGATCAGGGTAATGCTAATGCTGTATTATAACCAGCTGTTTGAACTAAACATTGACTTTGAATTAATACTGAAACCAAGGATCGTTTTAGACTGTCTGTAATTAAGTCGTCTGGTTGACTTTCAGTTATTTTTCATTCGTTGTAAGACTTAATTCTTAATGTGCCGTATCAGTTTATGCTAGAATTTGACATGTTTTACATTTTAACACAAGTGTTCAACAYACCAAATCATAGATACTTACCCTTTCATTGAGTTAACTTGGTATGGCAAAAAGGAAGTCAGTTAATGTCAAAAGAAATCGAAGTAACCCYTTGGCATCACGACATCATCATGGATGCTTTCTAGGTGGAGATGATCCCGGATATGACGTTAYGGCAATAGAGACTTCCGCTTTAATAGAACTCTAAATCGCCCATGTGCGCATGGATATTCATTGGAAAATACTTTTAACGAATCTCCAGAATTTATCAACAAGGAAAGGTTTTTATTGAAAATAAAATCAGAATCAGTATCCTACCAGTGAACAATGACTCCAGAGAGATCCGGGGAAAAATAGCCATTGGGGTGAAAAAGTGGTTTATTATTAAAAAGTGTTACAGTTAGCCAGTATTAGAATTTCTCAATATTTAGAATTACCATAATAAAAGCTGTGTATTCTCATTAGGGAGCTTATGAAGCGAATGTAAAGGTATGGGTTTCCTGTGGTGGGGGATTGTCGTTGGAGCCGGGGCTTCTGGGGCCAAAGAGGTACATGTGAGTTTTAAGTGCATTTCCAGTTTTTGTTTGTTTGTTGTTTTTTTTTTTTTAACATTAATAGTGCATTTTAATAGTTCATAAGTGTGTATTGCATGCTCGTAAAAAGTGCATGACAGCTTCAGTGCGTATGTAGATAATGATTAATGTTGACAAGGAGGCTGCATAAATTAATCGTCAATAGTGACAGTAGCTAATGCATAACTGTGGAGTTTAGCAAGTTGAGAATGGAGAATTATAAGGTAAATTAGAGTACTCTTTGTATTATACAGTTAATATCTGTTCTGATATATCTTTTTGATATAAAGCTTCACCAAAGGCTGGGCAAAGGAGCTCAAGGTGCTGTATTTCTAGTAGAAAACAAACATGACAAGAAGAAATATGTCTTGAAGAAGGTACGCGCGTACTTTGGTTGATCGCGCCTTAACTCAATATGCATCAAATATTAATGTATATCTCTTTAGACATAAAAAGTTTAGCGATCATTGTGATTTGTCTTTGTAGTATTAATACTCAATTAAAGTGTATGATGTGACTTCGATTGGATACTGGAAATCGGTCGGTTTTTGTTGACATAATGTTTGGAGAAGCTCAAACGTGCCATGTACTAAAGCTAAACCTGATTTTATTACAGTGAAGTTTTGTTTTGTAATCTGATTGCTACTTAAAAGCTTATTGTGGCTTTGAGAGAAGTATGAGATGAATTAAAGTTTTATTGAGTATATAAATTTTGTAATAGAACTCCTTTAGAGACTTATGATTACGATGTCATCAATAAAGCGCGCGTTTAAAATGTTGTATTACTCTTAGGGAGAAATCTCAAGAGGGTATTCTTCACAATTATACAGTAAAATGTGCAAAGGTTATTTTTGATAAAGAAAATTTATTTCTAAATTTTGGAATATTCAATTATACATGCAAAAGTCCCTCACTCTCATGTTATAAGATTTTTAATCGGTCATTAGTYATATTATGACTGGAATAAAACAACGCATGCGTTGTATACTAAAAAGCTAGTAAAATCTCTACATTAGTTCTATCTTTTGCTGAGGCAAAAAAAAGTTTGATCATTTTGTGAAGAGATATGCGATTATCTTGGGATGCCTGTGTCATGTGAGAAATCAAATAAATTTTGTGTTAATATTTTTTAGGTTGAGTGCAATGATGAAAGTGAAGCAAACAAAGCTTTCAAAGAGGTCACCAATCAATGTTSTTTTATTGATGTTAAGTGGTAATTTCATTAGATACTATTTTATTAAATCATTGCAGGCCATGGCTCTTCAAGAACTCAAACATCCTTACACTTGTGGTTACAAGGAATTCTTTGTCACATGGGACAAAGAGGTATATTCCAGTGTACTTGTAACTAACTTCAATCCAGTTACTAGTAATATCTGTCTSTTTGTAGGAATCTGCAATGTTTGTGTGTATTGTAATGAAGTATTATAAACTAGGTAAGTGACTTCTAGTATCTCTGAAATTAATGTACTATATAATAGGATCAATGCATCTGGAAGCAAACCCACTGGCTATATAATCCCCACGATTATAGCTAAGTGCAATTTGTACTAAACTTAAAGAATGCTCTGGATAGGTTATGTTATAACTTGTACCTAATATACATCTAGAGGAGAAACAGTCAAATGTGAAAGAATGTTCATCCTTCCAAAGGATCAGACAATACAATCACAGTACATTAACCTGTACCTGACCTGAAGACAAAGAGTCTGTCACCTCAAGGACACAATATCTAAAAATGAATTGCATACAACTAATAAGAGATAACATGGCTTCTAGTTAAATGTATTCTGATGTACTGCGCCCTCTGAAAGAAACAAATAGGTTTCTTGTTTGGGGTTAATTTTTGCTTTTTTTATTAGATTTCCCCTAGTATGGGCAGGGACACCACAACAGCATGAGCCAATTACTGCAGACCCTGTACTCTCACACTCACTTCCTCTACATTAAGTATTTTAGCACACAACAGTCCTCACTCCTTTTCATGTTTCTTGATTTCAGGTGATCTTGATAAAGCTTTAAAGCAGAGAAGATCTAAAGGAGAAGCAATTGGTGAAATGGTATAACTGAATTCATTTTGTACATATAAATGAGACAAAATTACCAAGAAAATGATTTAATTGCATAATTAATTCCACAGAAAAAATACAGTGATTAGCTCAATTGAAAATGACAAAAATGAACATTGGAAAATTGGCTGAAATGGCATTTTTAGTTGAAAATTGTAGAGTAACGATTATAGCTTTATACCCCAGRACTCTGGGCATGAGTATTGCAGACTGGGTGTGTGCAGCTGTTGAATAAATTTGGGAAATCTCGAGCTAATAAATGGTGGTAGATTTATAAAATTCAATGAAGACTCATGAATTAGACGCACTAAACATGGCATATTTGATTGTATCATTGAGTTCATTATAGCTCTTCTGAATATACATCGCTTTGTGTTTTAGGTCTTAAAAAAGTGGTTTGGGCAAACAATTTCTGCTTTAGTCTTTGTTCATGATAAACAAGTTATCCACAGGTACAAAACTGTTATATTTTCTGATTTCTTTTGATACAGGCAATGCACATCARCAACATCAACAACACCTTTAATTATAAATAACAAGTCAATTCGATACACATTCGATCCACTCAATAGACATTCGACCCACCCTATACCCCTGTACCATCAGTAGGTACACTCCTAAGATATCACCCATGTACCATCGGTAGGTACACCCCTAAGATATCACCCCTGTACCATTGGTAGGTACAACCCTAAGATATCACCCCTGTACCATTGGTAGGTACAACCCTAAGATATCACCCCTGTACCTTGGTAGGTACATGTATACCCCTAAGATATCACCCCTGTACCATCGGTAAGTGCACCCCTAAGATATCACCCCTGTACCATTGGTAAGTACAACCCTAAGATATCACCCCTGTACCATCAGTAGGTGCACCCCTAAGATATCACCCCTGTACCATCAGTAGGTGCACCCCTAAGATATAACCCCTGTACGATACACATTCGATCCACTCAATAGACATTCGACCCACCCTACATAAATAGCAAATCAATTCGATACACATTTGATCCACTCAATAGACATTCAACCCACCCTATATAAATAACAAGTCAATTCAATACACATTYGATCCACTCAATAGACAGTCAAACACACCCTATATAAGTTGGTGTAGGACCACCTAAAAGAATGTTATTCTAGTAGAATTGTCAAATTAAGATGAAAATAAAATATTAATAGTTACCAGTTTTAATGGCGCTTTGATGATTAACAGTATAGCTTTTTATTGTTATCGACAGAGATTTAAAGCCGAGTAACATTTTTATGGAGGACACTGGAGATGTAATCATAGGTACATGCAGTTATATATTTATTTTAATCAAATCTAAAATTTATTGCATTTTTTCTCTTATAGGGGACTTTGGTGTTGCAACTATCATGGATGATGCACGTACAAGAACAAGGACAACTGTTGGTAAGAAAGAGTATYAATGTTATTATCATATCATTTCAATGATACAATCTACATACTGATACTAACTGTATGTACTGTTTTTAAACTGCATTTCTAACATTACATGATTACTTTCAGGAACAATGAACTGGATGGCACCTGAAGTCCTAGAAAGACCGTATCCAAGTTAATTWCTTAGAATAAACAATGTAGTTTGTTCTTTAACATCGCATTTGTTGTTATTTTATTTCATTGTTTCATAAATGATATGACTACCTCTTAACTGGACTAAGATATGATGAAAGAAGTGATGTTTGGTCCTTAGGGTGTATATTTTTAGAAATGGCAACCTGTGGCTTTATGGATGTTAGTATTTTGACTGGGCTATTCATGATGTAATATGATATTTCTGTCAGTTCATTGATTGGTAGTTTAGTGTAACATTTGTTGGACCATTACAGATATCTATTTTTGTTATTATGTAAACTAGAAATATAGGAAAGTTATGTGCTAGGAAWGGAGATTAAATTCCTGTTGAAATAACCTCAGATATCACTTTTCAAAAAAATAATTCCAACCTCTCTGGGATTCATATTATTATGCAGTCAAGACATTGGAAATTATGAACTTACTAACTAGTGCTATCATCTTACRTGCCAGTCAGCCCAAATGTCATCTGTGCTGTTTCAAATCAAGCAATCTCCACAAATTTTGGAAGAAACTCTTGAACAAATTAAAAACAAGGTAGGTATAAGTCATTGTACTGTATTGGACAAATGTGTCACAAAATATAAGTACTACAGAACATTGTAGTTGTAATAATTTTGATAATACAATATTAAAAATGTGTTAATACTTGATGATGTATAGTACTTTATTTTAACAACTTGCGTTACAGCAAAAATATTCCAGTGATTTGTGTCAACTCATTCGTACAATGCTAAGAAGAAACTTCCAGCAGAGACCTTCAGCTAAGTATGGACAACATTTTATGAGTCATGGAATCATGACCATTTGTAAATTAGATATTAGTAAATTGAATTGAAAAAATTAAATTGAATACAAAGCTTGAGTATATATAAATGAACAATCTCCTTTAAGGGAACTACTGGACCTTCCATACGTCAAATCTTGTATGGCTTTACAAGATAAAAAGTCTAAAATTGGGTCAGGATCAGCTAAGAAAGGAGGTCAGTGCATTATATTATTGGCTGTGATATTTACTGTAGTTCTTAGTATTTCTAAGGATTTCATTTATTCCTTTTTAGCACCTACAGACAAGAAAAAGGGTAAGAGGCATATGTGAAAGTTGTCCTTTTAGTAATACATTAGAGCTACCATTTTAACTTTATTCCTGAAAGTTAATTCAGACCTGTTGTAATAACTTCATGCATTTTGAGATCAATGTAAAAAAAATATTTAAAGTGTTATCTTCCATTAATATTCTTAGCAAGTGTGAAGGCAGTACCAAAAGACAAAGGTGTAGCTGGTGTCCTACGTAAGTACAAAATTAAGTATCAATTTTAAAAAGGTTTCTTCCCAATGTATCTTTTTTTATTTATAGTCCTGCACAACTGTATGCATGCAGGTGTATGATATTATATCTCTCCATCTATTTTTCAGAATACATGAAAGAAAACAAAGAAACAGAGGCTTGTCAGGTTAATAATAATTATTTGCCAAGTAATATCTATGATTCAGTTTGTAATTCTGAAGTACCTTTTATTCAGGTGGAGGCATTTAAACATATTGAAAAGATTACAAGAGAACAAGGTATGTTTGTTTTTACACTCACTGTGATATTTTTGTCAGGATTATTTTGAACGATATTTGTTTCTTTTAGGTGTATCATTGAATGGGGCAACACAGAAGTCAGTGGCTGCTACAATGAAAAGCAATATTGGATGTCAAAAAATTCAAATTTATGGGTGCAAGATATTTGTGAATATTCTTCCAAATGGTATGAGAAATACTGCCTGTTGGTCTTTTATGGTGATATTGATTAACATACAATCTATTTACAGCTGATGAGTCTGAGGTTGTGTTTACTGCTGATGTTATTCAGCCAGTAGTTCTGGCATTAAGAGTGAGTCTGTTTTTAGCTTGTGGTCTTCCATGCTAATTAAATAAGCTAATTATTGTCTTTATTAATAACAATTGCTGGTTTTCAACTAAACCACTTTGCTCCAGTCTCATTCAGGTTCTTCAGAACTTCAAACCAATGCTTGTCAGTTATTGATGCTACTATCTGCAGATGGTAAGTTTGAGTGTGGCTTGGACATTATTTCTACACTCAGGTACATGTAATCATGTTTTTTCTTCCTTTTTCAGAGGCAGCTGCAGAAGTGATTGGAAGATTAGGTGGTGTGCAGGATGTTTTGGCATCTATGAGAGCATTTCCTGATAATGTTGAGATTGCTTCAAACTGCTGTGCAGCACTGTGGAGTCTTGCTGTTAATGGTTGATTTCAATTGTCATTGTTGTTTTACTTTTATTTAATATTATTGATGTGAAATTGTTTCTTCATCACAGAGAACAACTGTAAGATTGTCACAACTGAACGTGGTCTACAAGATGTCTGCAATGCAATGGAAAGACACAGCAATGTGGTTGAACTTGTAGAAGCAGCTTGTTCAGCTTTGTGGTCTTTGTCCATGGAGGGTACGTTCTTATAATGTGAAACACACAAATCCCTTGTGACATATTATCTGGAGAAAGGCTGTCATTTTAAATTTATTTTTGATAACTATTGTAGCACTGCAGTCCAGCACACTTAGTATCATACACACAGACAAATATTCTTTAGGARCAGTGAATAATGGCATTTGTATAATTCTTTGTAGATGAAAATATTGAATTGATGGCTGACCTTAGTGTACCAGATCAACTTATGTCTTCCATAGTCGAACATAAAAAGGTAAATTTTTAAAAATTAACTTTGATAAACCATACTTAGACGGATTTTGATCCTCACAAGTAGGATGAAATCACTTCACMAAAAACCGTTGTGGTGTCAAARTGGCGACACCATCTCAGATGTGTATTCTAACATAGAGGCGTGCCATAATTATTTTGTGCGGGAACTGAAAAAACTCTTAGTGACCCGTTCCAATTATTATTCATTCTTATAATTAATTAATTTATGTCATTTATTTCTCTTGTTTTAGGAAGCAAAAGTAGTAAAAAATGCATGTATGGCACTTGCGAGTATCGTAGAAGCAGATGGTAAGCAATCTTTTTTTGTTGTTGCTTTTTTTGCTAAAACGAAAGCTGCATTTTTCTGGTCTTAGTTTATGGGACACGTCATGACGTAACTGAATAGAAAAGTAAATCACACAGCAAAAGGACTGAGAAGAACGAAGTACATCAGACATTCTGTACTTACAACCCAGCATTTATTTTTTTCAGAGATGTGTGCTTACAAAGTCATTGCTTTCGAGGACAATACAGGTCTGCAAATCATAATGGATTCTTACAAGTAAGTATAAATAATGTTATTCCTCTATGAGGATGATCAACAGGCATATTCACTTATCATGGCTAGATTTTGCATACACACATCAGAGTCGGGTTATATTGATTACAATATGAAAGACCGCTAACAACCTTTTTTCTTAGGGGACTTAAACAGAATGAAGAAGTTGTCGAAAATATCTGTGTCCTATTCTCAGAGCTCGTTGAATATGGTAAATGTTGTTTTTAAAATCTGTTGATGCTGTAATAAGAGAGTGCTAATATGTGCTTTTCATTGGTAGATGAGATAAGAGAAGAAATGGCTTCCCTTAAAGTACATACAGTGTTAGCAGAGGCCAAAATGAATTTCCCTACAAATGAGGTAACACTTGATGTTGGCCAATTTGTGTGTAATTACATTAAAAAATCCCAATTCTTCGCCTTTTACTTGAACATCAATTTTTCCTACACTCTCATTAATGGAGAGTGACGGCGCGAAGGGGCACTATCAAGACACCCTATCAGTGCTTAGAACCCGCCGCTACAGAAACTGATGAACATAAAGAACCATAGAACAGTTTAAATCTCGGGCTTCATACTTTGAAGTTGCTAACTGCGTTCTTGGGCAACCTATTTGTTTTTCGAAACAACTATCACAGCATAATGCCCTCGATTCAACCATAGTTAATCTTCCCACATAGCTCTAAATGATGTGAACAAATAACTTGTGTGCATTCTACTAACCTGACCTTTCTTTAGGAGATTGTGACCCCAGCAGCCAGTGCGCTGGTAATGTTAGGCGGTGGTAGTCGTAGTGGAAGGCGTGGTAGCTCAGCAAGATCACGACCACGTAGCGCAGCTCGTAAATAGTTGCCATAGCTACCTGATTAGATAACATAATATGATTGTGAGCAAGGTCATTAATAAGAAGTGATTCATATTTTTTCGAAGAAACTGTCCGAGAGTTTTACTATGATAAATGATATTATATGTATATTATTTAGCAGAGTGCAGGTATACAAAACTATTATCACGTGGCTTGTAATCGATATTTGGAAAAAACAGTTGACTGCTTCAAAGTCTGTGATTATGAGATATTATATTGATACTGGAACAAGAGTACCACATAAAATTAGTACCCTCGATATAATGGGTTGTATCTTTGATTGCGACTGAGACCTGATCTCACGTGAATGATTCTATTCTATAAAGTTCTTTTTAAGGAAGAATGGACTGAAATTTATTAAGAAAAAGGAGCAAGGTGACTTATCATGTAGAAAGGAAATGTATAGGTAGTACTGTGGTGATTAAACAGCAAATTAGCTATTATTGTGGTGTTAATTGATTTTTAATGACTCAAAACTTACACAAAACAGTTGTTTAACATAAGCTGCTAATGTCTTTGTAACAAAGATATCAGGTCAACAGTTGTTTGTGTACGGTAAAAGCAAAGCTACACTACTCGACGTAAAATGGCTGGGAGTATTCAAGAGAACATAGAAGAGTTTTTTTCTTTATCAGCGGAAGAACTTGAACGTCGTCTAGACAAACTTGAATATGGGAATCAATCGTTGTTCATATGGAAAAGTGAGGAGTATCCGAAGTTTGTTGAAAAAGTGATTTTWGAACCAAAAAAATGTAACGTACAGTTCCCTCCTATTGGACCAAGGGCGTTCTCTCGAGGAGTAAGAAGTACTTCTTCTCTACCTGATATAAGGAATTCAGAAAGTATGGAACTGATGTCTAACGTTGAAGAGCTATCTACTGCATCTACGATAGCTTTCATCGATAAGAAGCCTTCACGAAGCAAACCAAGAGTAAGGCCACGTTTAGGGTCTCCTAGCTTTCCTCTTAAGGCGGAACAGGCGCCTTCTGAAATGGACAAAAAGTTGCTGTTTTGTCAAGGAAAAGGATTTTTAAACTCAAGCAGTTCCAAAGGATTTGGCCTGATGTCAAAATCAGCTGTAGTCAGTGTCCAAGCTGAGAATTCTTCGCCCAAAGAAGAACAAAGATTGCCAMTTATACAAGGCAAGAAATCGCAAACAACACAAGTTGGCCCTTGGTTTAGAGCGTGGTCCAGTCAAAAGAGGGAACGAGTAAGTGAAAGTGAAACAAATTCTAAAGAATTGGATTGCCACTTAGCTACCATAGAACAAAAAGCTGTTCGTAGTTTTGACTTGTGCGGGCTTCTCAAAGACGTACAAAGAAGTAATGAACCAAGGACTCAAAGTATGGAAGAAATTGCCATAAAAACTGCTGTTAATTACGTCTCAAAGAAACAAGAATTGACAGCAAAGGGAGGTGGATTTGTTAACCGGACAAAACATGTCAGTGTTAGGGAGGAAATCATGATTAAGAAAAAACTAAGAGAAAAACTGTTTTCATTCTATGACTTTGGAGGTAGCTCTAACGCTTTTGAACGCATCGTCAGCGATGTGTGCAGTACTAGGAACTCTTCTTTGAAGTTCAAAAACTTACCTGCCTATCCTGACAGCGAAGAAAAGGGAATTTTCCCTTTAGCTGCTCCTCATACAAATCTACCACTTTTACCAAACTCACCAACACAGTTACAGAAGCTCTGCAATCTCTTAGATACATTCCAATGGTTTGCATGKAAACCACACGGGCCACTTCAGTCTGTTGTTAGAGGATCTCAACATTCAAAACAAGAGATCACTGAAATTCCTAGTTGTAACATTTCAAGGGCTCTGTCAGATACAGACATTGATTTTGAGATGGAAAACCCAAAGTTGGAAGTACGACTACCAACATGTGCTTGAGGAAAAATAGCAAACTCATTTCGCGCCAAAAATATAYGCCAGTTTATTGTAATTTATTTCAAATGTATATACTGATATAAATTCGTTTGCTCGTCCGGCATATACCGGTATATATGTATGTGTGTATTCGGTGTAAAATCTTGTTATAACGTATAAATAAACAGCTATAGGCTCTATACATTACGTTATATAGGTGTAGTGTCTTATGGTATTCCGGGGTATTCCTCCTATTACTAATACTTTTGTCTTCACGAAGACATCGCGAAGACAGTACTACTCAACCGAAATCATATCAAACGTTGATCCTTGATTAAAGCGCTGGAATTTATAAACTTAGAAATATTTTTTTATGAATAGCCCAAGTCAAGCGTCTCACAGTGATTTGACAGCCACCGAAAAGTCGAGAAACACTGACAAGATTAATTTACTTTTCTTCATCGAAGGTAACGTCCAAACGTCAGTAGGTTGTTTCACCTACTTTTTTGAGGTGTTGAAATTACAGTCTTTTTACACAACCAGATAATAAACCTTAGCCGCTTCTTACAACATTGTTGCTGTTCAAGTTTAGCATTACTGTAAAAAATCTTCACCTATAATTACAAGAACCAGTGGCAGAACCACTCGGTGAAAGTTACCGTACCCAGTTTGTCTCCTGAGGGGGTACTCCCGTATATTCGCTATACGGGGACGTGCCGCCAACCAGGGTATCGTTTTCAGCGATTTTACTCTGGAACTGGGTATCGCTTTTAGCGATTTTACTCTGGGACAGGGTATCGATTTCAACGAATTTTCTCTSGAASAGGGYCAGGGTTTAATTCCGGAATTATTGATGCTGGATAAAAATTCACGGGGTAAAAATTCGGTCACACGCAGGCTAGTGCTGGATTTTACTCTGGAACAGGGTATCGTTTTCAGCGATTTTACTCTGAAACAGGGTATAGTTTTCAGCGATTTTACTCTGGAACAGGGTCAGGGTTTTGAGGTCCCCCCCCCCCCCCCCCCCCCCACCGGGGTGTTTGTCTTGATCTTGTTACTTTTTAGGGAAGTTCGAATTTCTAAGCGTTTGAAAGCATCGAAGGAGAGTTATGATCGTGTCTTTATTAAGATGCAGCTTTCAATTTTCGTGCGTTTTGTTCTTATTAATTTTTTGTGACGAAAGACCTTATTATGGGGCCTCTCGTCACTATGTCATAGTGTTTWGACGAACCGTAACCATCCACTTGTAGCAGGCGTTCCTTGCGAGTCCTTGATATTTTTAAGTTGAAAAGAGAAAATCTATATAGAGGAAAAAACAACAACAGCAAAGAAAAGAAAAGAAAAGAAAAAGAAAAGAAAGAAAGAAAAAGGAGAAGAAAAAAAAAAACAAGAAATGAAAGAAAAAGAAAAAATAAGCAAGAAAAAAAAGAGAAACTCCAGCAGCAGGGTTCGAACTTAGGACTTTCACTTCAGGAAAAGATGTACCCCCCCCGGAATACATAAGAAATGATGAAAATAAAAAAACTTAAAAGATGGGACGATTCCCCCGAGACATTCTATGAAGCTGAGGCGTCGAATCGGCTTACGTDACGGTTAGAGATTTCGGCTCTTCCACGCTATCCCGAGTGAACATAAAACTTAGTCTTAACCAAAAGGCCAGGGAGTGAGGGGGGAGCCGCCCACTAGAGCATACCTTTAGCTACCCTCTTAGACCATCGTACTATGAAGACACTTATRGATATCTGATATCTAATTGGGGTAGTCTATTCGTCGAAGTTCTATGCTAATATATGACGTCACGAAAATCCTTAGGGAGTAGCGAACCAATCAGAGCTCATCTCAGGGTTTGCATAATCATTCTTCGTTGATATTTTTTGTGGGGGTGGGATGGGTTCCGAGTGCTGGTTTGCGTCTGAATACCGATGTACTCGATGTAATGTCACGGCTTTTATCGAGCTGTTCAACTGTTGTTATTGTTTTCCAAATCATCACAGAAAATACCGTTCGTATATCAGACAGACATCACAAGTATTCGGGTGAACAGCGCGACAAAAAATAGTTGCTAGACCAAAATATGGTTTACAGACCAGGGACGCCAGGCAGATACTATCTGTTGCTAAAGATTTGCCGAGATTCAACGGAGCAATTAAAGGATTAAGCCTGGTTTCCATATAATCGTTAGAATCGCTGGAGAGTGTTTCCATATGATCGCTACGATCGTTGAAATTTCCGGCGATCGTGGCGATCCTAGCGATTGTAACGATTATATGGAAACCAGGCTTTAAAGACCTCTGAAACTCCAACAACATTACACTCGAACATTCGATATTTTCGTTCTTTATGATATGAAAGTTTACAAATGGGTTAATATTAATTATCAAATGTAAATATAGTGAATGTTAACATTTGAGGATGAATGACTAATCCGTATAAAATTAATAAAGAATGGTAAAAAAATACTTTAAAATCTTTAGGTTTTATTGCAAGACTATAATCAGGCAAATAAAATAAAAAGTATGAGTGATATAAACATTTTCTCGAAGAAAACGTTCGAGAATTTGATCATGAGTCAACAGATAATTAAAGCTTTAAAGATTCCTTGTCGTGATAAAAATCACTTTTCCAAATGTTTTAAGAGGGATATGTTTACTGTAGGCAGGGACAGAGCGCCCTGCGTCAATACCTCACAAATGAGAGTGATCAACCATCTCAATAGGTTCCTTGACCCCTTGGAATCGCCAGCTCTTGTGTATTTATAGGGCACGTTCCGTTTCAATTCCTTGCAGCTTATACAAATAATTCAGAAAACGTTGTATACTGAAAATAGTGTATTCGAAGTTCCTAATCTTTAAGATGTCCTTAGTCTCATGCAGTCCTCGACTGCCTATTTTTGTCGGTTGCGTGAAAAAATGTGTGATGAAACCTTTCTAGTGTTTGATTAGCCGAAGTCACGCGTCTCACAGTGAGAATAGCTTTGACGGATACACGATGCTCACACGGACATGAAATTTGAGACTAGGATTATATTAGAAGTCAAGACATCGACGAATCTCACTTCAAATTAGAGTTGTTATCGACTGGTTATGAGATAAACAACGGGGCTTTCATCATGTTAAAGCGCACATTATACCTCTGGATTACTTTGTCCTGCTTGGTTATAACCAAAGGTAAGCTACAGTAAGTACTTGGAATCGATTAGATCTAACACAGTTTACGTCAAGATACTGAAAACATAAATAATGATAAAAATCGATAAAATCCGGAACGTAACGCTCTCATAAAAGCACATCAGCTATTTTTTAAGCGACACGACAATATCATAGAGAGAGAGTCATTGCTTCATAGACTATAATATTTATCAGGGAAGGTATCTCTGTGCGACATGAAAGAAGGGGTCGCATCTTACGTAAAACTGCAGGAAGTACTTTGATAATCGAGGAATTTGGCAGTTGCCTTGTCCTAATATTAAATACGAATATTCAACTGCTATAGTACTGTTATATTAACTGGTTTTATTGGCAATCTTGTAATAACAATATACTCCAATTTGTCCAACATATATATTAGAACGTTGCGGTTACATCATCGACTGGTGAAACTAACCATATTTGGTAGAAGGGGTTAGGGTTCGGGCTTCTCGACAATTGTAAATTCTCACGTCAGGAGGGAGCAAATGGGGACTCTGACAATTTGTAACCACGGCAAAATTATTGCACGACGGCATCGAATACTACAGAATGTTTTGTTCACTTTCTTTTGTTGTGCAATTAGTCACAGCAGAATGCCTTTCGTATTTTCTTGGTTTATTCAAATCTTTAATCCTTCTATAGATTAATTGGGAATAATTACATTACAATTATAGTAAAAGCGGAAAGGAGCATCTTTAAAGGCACTCTCGCCAGTTGATGAAGTGAAATAGAATTTATCTTCAAGTTACTTGATTTCATTCAAAATGTCAAGTAATGTGTTTATTTCGCTACTGTCGCGGCACAGGTGAGCCTTGCCCTAAGAGTATGGGTTCCAGAAGATCTTGCACCAAGCAGTGCGCTTCATCTGCTGAATGTCCTGCTGATTCACAATGTCAATGTGATGGTCGCTGTGGTTTAAGCTGTGTTAAAAAAGGTATTTTAATGCTCGTTTGTCCTCGTGGCCACTCGTATGTCCTCGTGTGTCCCCGCGGTCACTCGTGCGTCCTCGTGGTCACTCGTGTGTACTTTTAGATCCTATCACCAGCTGTAAATTATCGAACACAAGCAACCTAATTAATCATTTCCTTTGCGCAGGTCTTCAATGTAAACCTCCTCCCAAGGTTAGAAATGCCAAGTTCWCAACAACTGGAAATAGTTTTAACGACGTTGCAACGTACACTTGCAATCGGGGATACTCTTTGAACGGRTCTCCCAAGAAACGATGCACGGCTAAAGGGGAATGGGATGGCGTTGGGCCTACTTGCAGTAAGAATTGCATGAATGCTGCTTGTTTTTCCTTTCATTGGATTAATTATTCTCTTGACGTATTGTCACTTCAGTGCCAGCATGTACACAGCCAGAACTACCATTTGGTGCTTATGTTATGTCCATAATAAAGTCAATGTATAAGACAGGAGACCGCATACAGCTTGGTTGTAAGACGGGTTTCAAACAAAGCGGCAATCCCTTCAGAATATGTATATCTGGACGTTGGACTGCGTTCCCATTTCAATGTAAAGGTACATACTGCTGTTCACGTTTCTAATTAACTGAACTGAAAACGTAAACAAAATAAAAAAAAAATAAAAATTACAAAAACAATAATTATTTTTTTATATTCAGTTCATGAAATTCAATGAATAATTTTGATACATAATCGGATGATGATATTYWATTTTTTTAGCAACTCACTCATGCCCTAGAACAATTCGTGCTGCTCGGACAAAGTGTACTCAAAAATGTTCGCCACAAGATGTGAATGGTTGCCAACCAAATCAGAAATGTCTTTGTGATGGACAGTGTGGATACAGTTGCGTGGAGACAGGTTAGTCAGTGATATCATCAGATTTTCACTAATTTACCAGAAAGAAGAGCAACAACTCAGAACTTTATTATATCAGACAATAAGTGCAAACAATGAAAGACCCAGTATTCATGCGGGTTGCCTGTATCCCTATGTGTCCTATACATTTATATGGTCGCCGGGTCTACTTCTAATCACGCTGTGAGAAACGACTGATTAAAAAGAAACATTACCAACTATTAGTCTTACTGTAAACGACTCTCGACTGAGTGAATTTAATGCCCTTTTTTTCAAATCCCTGTCGACTAAGAAGAGTACTTTCTGCACTTATTTAGCTCACATAATCAAACGCGTTGTTTGTCTTATTCACATGCAGCTATTAATTTCTCTTCCCAATAAATTTTTGCGAGTTCTAGTTTTATTGTTTTTTAATAAAAAGAATTCAGTTTTTGTCCTTGTGCTTTAAAGGGCTTTCTTGTGGAGTGCCAGCAAGTATAAAAAACGGTTTTAAGCAGTTTAATTCTACCGGTTACAACGCTACAGTCCGCTACTGGTGTAAAGATGGCTTCACTTTAGATGATGACAAAACAAAAAGGTGTACAGCCAAGAAAAGATGGGAGAAACCTACTCCAAACTGCCGTAAGTTACTTTCGCCAATTCTTCTCATCCAGATTAGCAGRTTAACACGATCAGTATTTTTCAGTTCCAGACTGCACAAACCCACCGATCCCTCCTAATGCTTACGTTGAAAACCTTAAGCGCAAGTATGCGTCCGGTGACCGAGTAAAGTTTAAATGTAAACCAGGCTACAATCAGGAAGGCATTCCATCCACTCTATGCTTCATGGGAAGATGGAATATTATACCTTTTAAATGTGAAAGTAAGCTAGATACACCAATATTTGTGTATATTATATGTATCAGAATATTCTATCACGATCAGAGTACAACGTACATCAGTGCATAACTACGTTTTCAGTGAAGCTATTATTAGATTGGTATCAAGCTCACAATCCTATTTACTTAGTTAAAACCATCGATGTTAAATTCAACAATTATATGCAACTGTCCTTGTCAGACTAATGATTAGCTTTAACTTTGACCATCATCATCGATATAATTCAAACAGTCGGCGGATGTGGCGATCCAGGCGTACCTGAAAATGGCAACAAAGTTGGAATATCGTACGGTGTCAACAGTGAAGTGTTTTTTTCTTGTAACCTTGGATACATTAGAATTGGTTCCGAGCAACGACGATGTTTACACAACAACACGTGGAGTGGAGTTCAACCAATATGCAAAAGTGAGTTTCTTTGAACTTGGATTGAACTGGAGCTCTTTTAGTGCCTGAAGCGTGTTTTGAGAGTGCGTAATGAGCTTGTCATATCATTAGGTCCAGTCCCTCCTATTTTTCTGATTTCTTCTGTTTCTCTACCTTCCTTCTTTGCCTTAGTCTCCTTCGCAGCCTCCCCTTTTGTCGGCCTTCCTGTTCCTCTCTTTTGGGAGGGACAGGAAGCCCGACAAAAGGGGAGGCTGCGAAGGAGACTATCTTTGCCTTTGCAATGCACATAACAAACTTATGTTGCGTGAAAATATGATACATAATGTATTAATAACTTTTCTAATAGAATTAGAAACCTCTTTTTTCGCAGAGCTAGCAACTCATTTCTTTCTCAATGTTTAATGAATTATCATCAATCTCAGTTAATACTAATGTATGATATTGTATTGTCAATGTGATTCAGTTGTTGACTGTAACAAAGTACAACCTCCTCGAAATGGTAGTATCCAAGGTAACGAGACGACTTTTCAAAAGTCTATTACCTACTCGTGTGATCAAGGATTTGAGCTCAAGGGACCAAAAAACGCCATCTGCCAGTCAGATGGGCAATGGAGCGTTGTATCAACATGTGAAGGTACATATGAATGTTCAAGTCGTAGTTTCGTGTTTTATGATATAACTATGTGCTATCACAAATCCAGCATTCCGATTGGCTACAGAACCATGGTTTATTCGTGTTATACCACGGCCGCATCGAAAGAAGCAAAAATATCGAAACTATGTCGAGAAAAATTGTCCTTTATTGTCTTTTTTCAAATTTCGCTTAATCTGGTGAGACTAAATCCTTCAATACATTTACAGCTGTTGACTGTGGGCTTCCTGACAATCCTCTGCATGGCATGAAGAAAGGAGATGCTTCTACCTACACGAGTAAAATAGAGTACTCGTGTAACCCTGGGTACTTGTTAGTTGGACAAGAAATAAGAACGTGCTTACATACTGGGAAATGGAACGGGACAGAGCCAACGTGTCAAGGTATATCTTTTTTCATGAAATCCAATCAGATCGCGCGTTCACTGTGGGCATGACAGTGTGTATTTGATATAAATAACGTTGTCTCTTTTATGCTTGTCTTCTCTAACAATGTATGTTTAGGCAGCTGTTTTGTAGAAGAGTTCATTCTCTTTTTTATTAGCCGTTAACTGTGGTGAGCTACAGCCACCTCGTAATGGATCAGTGATGGGAAAACTATGGACGTTTCCTAACTCTGTACAATTTGTTTGTGACGATGGATTTGATTTACTGGGATCACAAATTAGAACCTGCACAAGTCGTGGGAAATGGAATGGAACACAAGCTAAATGCCAAGGTATCAATCAATTAAAAATGCTGTGAAATATCGTTTTCGCAATTATAATCAAGCTTTCCCTTTATTAGCATTATCTTACTAAAACTCTTTAGCAATTACGGTAGGACAAATCGCTCATTTTCTATCTTCCACACTTACTGTTTAGTTACTGAATCAAACCAGAGATAAAAAAGAGAATATTGCATGAAACGACGAAAAAAACTCCAAAAGTATTTATCAGGAGCGTGCGCAGTGGTTTTCTGTTTATGCATGAATTAGGGAAAAGACTACAGTTGTCAAATATCGTTCGTTTTAATGTCAAGTCTAATGAAGAAGGGCTGTTGCTCTTGCTGATCAATGACATTGTGACTGTAATTGTTTTAGGATTCTATACAAACCTAGCTGGATTTTCTGGGTGCTTTTCATTCGTCCAAACTAACTGATCAGCCCAAAAGAGAATTCCATTATTAATAAATCAGATCAGTTTAATGAGAAGAATCCGCATTGTCCAAATTTCATTCATTATTATAATGGGAAACTGAATTCTCTGATTACTGAATTCTCTTGACAAAGTATTCTTTAGTTCGAAATAGTTGGTCTGCGACTAGCCAGTTCTATAAAATGGAATTAAGGGCTAGTGTCCATACAATATTTACAATCGCCCCAAAATGCGTTTTTCATATAGAGGATATTACATGGGCGCGCGGAGATACGGATTTTATCTTCGAGTGTTGAAAAGATCTCAAAGATTTTCAACACGAGAAGATAAAATTCGTATCCCCAAGCGAACATGTAATATTCTATTTATCATATAATTTTATAAGAAAACAAAATATGTCGTAAAATACCTTTTTTTCTTACTTGATTATTTAGCGAAACCTCGGATGTGTTATTTTCACTAGTGAAAATATCAATTTTACGAAATGGAGAAATATAGGTATTTCATAGATAATTATATGATAAATATTGTTCTTAATTCCCTTGAACAATACAAATATGCATTTTTGTGCGATTGGGACAATCCGGACGATTACTCGGACACCATGACTTAAGCTTTCTTCTTTCATTAGCGGTTAACTGCGGATATCTTGCAATTCCTCTAAATGGATCGCTGATAGGCAAGGAAACTACCTATCCAGCGCAAGTCGTGTTTAAATGTGATGAAGGATTTATACTCAAAGGATCAAAAATCAGAAAATGTCAAGAAAATCGAAAATGGAGTGGAAAAGAAGCACATTGTGAAGGTTTGTAGGCAATYGTGATATGCCCTTGATATAAACATGCAGTTTTTTGAAGTATTTATATATCTTGTCAACCAGCAAAAAATTGTGGCAAACCCACTCCACTTGATAGTGGAACAATGTTTGGCAGTGGGACAACATATCCTGAGGTAATTCGTTATGAGTGCGAGGATGGTTATATTTTAAATGGACCAGCAACCAGACAGTGTCAGAGTAATGGGAAGTGGAGTGACTTTGATCCTACATGTGAAGGTAATTTAATTTCTTAAATCCACGTGAAATGATTACTTTTTGGGGGAAGCTGTTGAAAATCATTTCATGAAATTAAATATTTTAGATCGAAATATTATTATACTAAGAGAAAGGCACAAAATGATTTATGAAATGTCGAACGTTTTCGAACTATGAGTTCATTATCATGACTGAGTAAATTAACCAAAAATGGAGAAACATATCTTTAAGTTATCCCATAGGGATGCAGAGTTAGATGGTAGTAATTCACTTAAGAATCACTTCTACACAACTTTTGAATAAATCTATTATATCTTATTATATTTATTATCAAGTTTTTTTTATTGCTGTACATATGTTTATACATTATATATATTTATATTTTTGTAAATYATTGCGGAAGATCCCTACAGGAGCAGTAATAAAGTTTATATATTTGTTTAATAGAACGTTCTCACATAAGAGAAGTTGAGATGCTAATAAGATCTCTATGAGATGTAACATGCAAATAATTGAACACAATAGATAATCAAGTGGCTTTATTTCTTTTATTTGAACTGTCACATTTGGAATTTTAAATCTAAACTAAACATTCACTTTTTTAA